CCTCTTTGCATGGCAGTTGAGAAATAATTTGCCATTTCTAGTAGTTGTATGGATTCCACAAAATATCCTTCCTGGCAAATTAATCCTGTCTGAGTAGTAGATAACCTACACATAATAGGATAAATTATCCTGGTTGACTTAAATTCTATTTTAAAGAAAACACCAAGAAGTGTCATGCTGGAATTATATTAGGTCATTAAATATGAAATGTCCAATTTTGAATCGAAAGTGTAATTTATTATGTCTCAAACAAGGAGCAGTACAATCAAAGTGTGCACCTAAACTATTGACACAGTTTTGCCACCTTAACAGTAGCTTGTTCATGCCAGCAGCAGAGAAGCCTAGAGAGCGAGTGGTGATGAAACTGTGAAAGGTGTTTTCTCAGCTTGTTGAGAATTGAATATTTTTCCTTGCAAGAAATGGTCCAAAGCCTGGAAGAAGTGGTAGTCAGTTGGTGCAAGGTCTGGTGAATACAGTGGATGACAGAGTTTCCAAGTCCAGCCTCTGTAGTTTAAGCAGCATTGTTTGTTCGACACGTGATCGAGCATTGTCTTATAAGAGGATTGTCCTGTCTCTGTTAACGAATCTCAGCTGCTTAATTGCAAGCATACTCATTTCGTCCAAATGTTTGCAGTAGACATCCGCTTAATCAATTAACCAGATTTCATGAAGCTGTAGTGGGTAATACTAGTGCTGGACCACCAGGCAGACACCATTAGCTTTTTTTGATGAATATTTGGTTTTGGACCATGTTTCGGCACTTCATCTTTAACATCTTTAATAAACCATTGTGCTGAACACTTGTGATTGTCAAAAAGAATCCATTTTTCATCACACATAACAATACAGTGTAGAAATGGTTTTCCTTTATGTAGTGACAGCAAAGAAAGGCAAGCTTTGAGATGATGTCTCTGCTGGTGCTCGTTTAATTCACGTGGAACCCATCTATCCAACATGTAGGTTGATGGATTCATTTCCACTACAGCTTTCAGTTCATCATTATCCACCTTGTTCTCAGGCCGCCCACGTGACTCATTTTCGAGATTAAAATCACCAGAACAGAACTTCTCAAACCATTGATGTACTGTGCATTCATCAGCCGCATCCTTCCCAAACACTTCCTTGATACTTTGAGCTGTCTGTACCATATTGGTTCCATGCAGAACTCATACTCAAAAATAACACAAATTTTTGACTTATCCATGGTTTCACAAAAGTTGCTATAAAAAAAATTTGAAAGATAATCACAAGCCAAATGACATGTTTGCAAGATTGAGGATGTACTTTCACAATAAAAATATAACAAATGTCAAAGTGAAATGTCAGATATCAACTGTCAAACTTAGTACTTAAGAAAATCGGACATTTCATACTTAATGACCTAACTTGCACAACCCACTGTAGGCACACTTCATACTTTTTTCCTACTCTTAAAATATTTGTCTGGGATATAGTGTAAGTATTGAGTTTAGAAAAAGGGAGCAGAGGGTTTAGTGGAAAGAATCCTAAACTTGGTATTGAAGATTTGGATGCCAGCCATTAATTATTTGTGTGTCTTTGGATAAGCCACTTACCTGTTTTGTCCCCTATTAATTGATTTTTTAGGTGATAAGGAAATCTGAGGAACCTGCAAATACTCTGGAGTTCTAAGCCAATTAGCCCATTAGTCCTTCTGTTTGCCTCTTACACAGGTTAAGGCCCTCAGATGTCCTGTAACCCTTTAGCAATTAGCCACTATTAATTTTCAGCTCCTTTTACTGAACATTTAAGGTGGTCTCCAAATAGAATAGTCACAGCTTGGAAGAAGGGTTTAGTTTTAGTGGAAGGGTGCTAGTCTATTTCGTCTTAATTTCTAGATGAAATTAAGCCGAGGATCAGATTTCTATTCCTGCTCAAGAGGCAGAAGCACTGTGATCATTGATAGTGTCAGTGGGAGGCAGGATGGGAAAGTGAAAACAATAGTAGCCTGATAGAGAAGACCTGGGCTCAAGGGCTGGCTCTGCCTCTTACGAGCTTATAAGTCACTGCCACTCTCTGAACCTGTTTCAATCTAAAATAATACCTGCCAAACATGCCCCACTTACATGTTGTGAGGATAAAGTGAAATAATATGTGTGAAAACATTTCGTAGTCTGCATAAATTGGTATTTCCAATTTCAGCAACATAGTACCCATTGTTTTAATTTTTCCGTTGCCATATACATTTATTTATTACTTTGGGACATTATTATAAATCTGTCTGTATATATGAATAGCTATAGGACTCTGCACATTTCGATATACAACATTTATATGTTCACTCTACCTTCTGGTTTTTGGTGTTGATTTATGTCCAGAAACCAGGCAACAAAGACGGTCTTCACTATTTTGTTTTGTCCTTGGTTTGTTA